TTACTCCATATGCTTGAGACTTTGATATGTATTGGAGTTTATTGATTTTGCTAGATACTACAGATTAAGTTTAGAGGTGATTTGAATAACAGCAACCTTGACTGGTTTTGAGGAACCACTATGTTGAAGGAGGAGATGCTGAAAATTCATTTTTACTCACCTATGTATTATTTTGTCCTATCTTTGCTGGTCTGCTTATTTGATAATATCTTTCTAACTCTCTTTTGTTCTCACACATTGAGGACAATGTACATTCTAAGTTTGGGAGTAAGGCTAATTGAATTTTTGAAATTTTTGAAATTCTGGAAATTTTTGCTGACACAAGGATATGATTTGCTGATATAAGCATGTGTTTGAGTCTGTTGATAATTATATACTCTGTTTGCAGTCTAAAGTTGGTTAGAAATGGTTTGTATGCTAAATTATTGTGAAAATGAGTCTTTGAAATTTTTTTGAAATCAGTTGGTGGCCTGTGGTTCACTCTACTAGGATAATTATTGTTTAATGATTTTGATCTCTGAGATGCTACACTTTGCACAATATTCACACTTTTATGAAGTATGTGGGGGTAGAAATTGAAAGTCTTGTCTTGTTTTGAGTTAGACTGAAATAATCAGGTAGATTTGATAGTTTTGATGACTTGAGGCATAAAATAAAAAAAAAAAAAATTTTTTTTTTGGTATGTATGCAACAAAAAGAAAAACAATGTTCACCAATGTGAATGCAAAATTAAAAATTATGATGAAAAAAAAAAAACAGAAAAGTATAAAAGGATCAAGTTCAGGTTTGTACTTAGATTGCTTGAGTGATTAAGCCCTTAGGGGCGTGTTATGACACCTAATGCCCTAAGATCGTTTGGTCTGGGAGTCATTGGCTGAAAGCTTGTTACATAAGGGATTTAGGTTACCTAGATTACTTGAACAATTAAGTCCTCTGGGGTGTTTTAACACTTAATGCCCTAAGATCATCTGGTCTGGGAGTCATTGGCTGAAAGTTCGCTACAAGGGTAATTTAGAAAGCTTAATAAACCTAGACATTGCACAAGTATCAGTTTTTTAAAAAATGCATACCAAAAAAAAATAATAATAATAAAAATGCCTTGGGAGTTGGAATTTGAAGAGTCTGCTTGTAAATTGAGGAATGACAAAGAATAGATGCAAGTATGGACAATAAGCCACACAATGAATTGCAGGATCACTTTAAAAAAGTATCTTTAAAGATTAAAATTGTTGAATAAATGATTGAACTGATATGTGGGGACTATGGTTGCTTAATTGAGATTGGAAGTTGGAAGTTCTTCTGATTACATGATTGGTATACTTGCTGTATTTGACTAATGAATGAATTGCAGGGATGATATGATTTGAAAACAGACTTGAATAAGCTTACTGTGCATTAAAGGCACTGATGTGAGAAGTTTATGGGTATCTTCACTGGAAACCCTCACGAGACTATAACTCGTCCACTAGGGATAATCTAAGGGTTTAATGGCTTGTTGGATAAGCTAAATGTAATCGTGATTCCCACGAAAACGGCTTTTTAGTTCTGTATTGCTAAGGGACTAGCCATATGTAAGTTTGGGGATGTGATGAACGCTGAATATATGCATATTTGAGCCCCTAAATACATATCTATTAAGGCCTAAAGTGATACTTCTATCCATAGTTAGACTAATTTATGATTAATGTGTGTTTCAGGTACTTTCCTAGATAAATGATTAAAACCGGGACTTTATGCTGATATCGAAGCTTACCGAGTCATTGTCGGTCATTCAGAGCAAGCCGATAGTTGAATTGGTGAAGTTTGAAGCAATTGAAGCCTTAGAGCTCGAGCCAAAGTGTTTAGGCTTGCACATTGTAACAAAGAAAAGAAGAAAAGTCAACAAAGCCAAATGCTCGAGCATCAGTACCTTGATGCTCGAGCCTTACTGCAAAGATGCTTGAGCCTTACTGTAAGGGTGCTTGAGCCTTACTATAAGGGTGCTCGAGCCTTAACCAAAGGTGCTCGAGCCTTGACCCTGAAGCTTGACCATGAGGCGTCGGAAATTAATGAGTTGATTTTGAATTGAAGGCTATGCTTTCGGGTCTTGTGCATCACTTCCATGATCGAGCACTATCAACAGAGGATCAATCATCGCCTCTTGATGCTCGACCATTGAGGCCCAGATGCTCGAGCATGGTACCTAGTGATCGAGCCCAAGAAGCTTGGAATGAGCAATGTTAAAAGAAAAAGACACTTCGGAAAATAGTTGAAGAAAATTGGTTAAGTGTCAATGTGATAATTAAGCACCATTCACTGAAGCTCGAGCATCCACCCAGTATTACTCGAGCATTGGTTCTTGAAACTTGAGCATGAGTCCTAAAACTCGAGCATCCGTTCCTGAAGCTCGAGCAATGTATGACATATTAGACTAAAAGCTGCGGGATTCCTCTTTCTATTACTGTATCTCATTCCAGTTGGGCCAGAAGACCTAAAAGCCCACCAAATATATATTTTCTTCTATAAAAGAAGGCGTAAGCCTTGATAGAAGAGATCCGAAATTCCAATGTCTTTTACGTATTATTCAGAAGGCTGAAGGTGTGGTGGCTTTTAGGGTTTCTACAACCTTGAAAATGCAGATCCTGAGAAGAGAGGTGCCGTCCGTGACGATGGAAATGAACTCAACACAGATGCTATCCAACCTTGTCATGAGTAGCTAATCCCTTTCTTAGGGCACTGATGTAACCCAACGTTATATTATGGTTTGATTGTTTTTACTCTAGGTTTATTTTAGTATATTATGTTTTCTTGATTATATGACTATGAGCACTTGAGACAACTCAAGTGGTTTTTCATGCTTTAGTAAATATAAATTGTTATTACCTTGTCTTAGAAATAATAATTTATGTTATATTCTCAACCTACCTTGTTGTACGGTATTTGGTGGAGCCCTGCCGGACACAAGAATAGAGGTCATATAATGGTGTTCCAATGAATATTACAAACGAACGTTTTCATAATCTATGCTTAGGAAAGGTGGTTCATTCACACAGTAGTTTCATAATCTATGCTTAGGAAATATGGTTCATTCACACAGTAGTTAAAGTAGGTAGAGTAAGTAGGTGAATAGTCCACGCTAACTGCAGATATGTTATAGTTAGCTAAATTTGTAGAACATCTTTCTTTAAACTCCGAACTGAACGAATGTTATTTAGTTCAGTTCATTTGAAAATAGAATTGGTTAAAATTCCAGAGTTGATTCAATTGACCATAGTATAACGATTGTGGGGAAGTCAAAGCCCTAAGATCTTCCCTTTCTGATCATTGAATTTAGTTTAATTTGCTTTAATTTAATATTTTGTTTAATTCAAGTTTGTTAAATCGTGACAGCCAATAAACTCTATAACCAAGTTTCTGTAAACCATAAACCTAATTTAAAGGCTAAATACAAATTCTATCTCTCTGTGGGTTCGACATCATCTTTGCATAGAGCTATATCCTATACGATATCGTACGATGCGAGAGACACATCATGTATCACGAGAGAACCAAACATATTGATGTCAGAAATCATTTTATTCCGGATGTCATATCAGAAAGAATTACTACATTGAAGAAAATTGACACAACTGAGAATCCGGCGTATATGATGGCAAAATTCATTCCGGCTCTCAAGTTCAAGCATTGGTTGGACTTGGTTGGTATTCTCGAATGTTGAAATTGCCCCTAGGGGCTTTGTGGAGAAGACAGTTTGTTTAGCAGAGATATTGTGGCTTATTTGAATTTTCACCAATGTGGAGATTTGTTGAAAACTGTAGCTAAAATTTGCCAACTCAGCATGTAATAATACATGATCACTTACATCATCAGCTTGCCCTCCAAGGAACGTGATCAGCAAGCTGTGCCAGCCCCATGCGTGATCAACAAGTCTTATGCTTGATCAACAAGCATAAGTTGGTGATTTCTAGGCTATAAATAGCCTGCACTCCATGGTGTTTTTGCATCCAATAATTGAGTGTGAATTTGCTCAATAAAGAAAAGTAAAGTGTGTAAGAGCTTGGGTGTAACTGGGTTTTGGGTGTGAGCCACTTAGCTTTATATTTCTTTATTTCCATAATAAAATATTGTTTTGTCTTCTCCCCGTGGACATATGCAGAGCCGAACCACGTAAATCCGGCCTTGTCTTGTTATGTGTGCGCTATATTTTATTTTCTTGTCATTTATTTTTCTCTTATTCTCATAAACTCCTATTGGATCTTTTATTTTCATAACACTTGCCTTACAAAAAATTACCATAATAAAATAACTTCAAATAAAAATCAATTATAACACAAGAATGAGCCATAATTCCTAACAAATGGTATGGCCACCCACATGTTTTCCTCTAATCATCAACATATATCTTCAGCCCTGATGGCAGAAGGCACGGTCGTGAGAGTTGCAGTCATGTTTGTTTGTTTTCTTTTTTAAAAGGTCATGTATGTTTCCAATGGCGTGTCGATGGTATTTCTTGAAGGAGACTGTCAAGCAGTTATCCATATGAATGCTTCAGAGGAAGCCCTCGTTATAAGGCTGCACATTATATTAGTCAACTTGCTAGGGTGTAAAGGACTGTTTTAGTTTTATTTATTGTATTCCTTTATGGGTAGGTTAAGCTCTAATTGATTATTGTATTCCTTTATAAATTTTAAATGACATTTTCTTGTCATGAAAAATAAAATAAAAATTATAAAATTATTCAAGATATAGATGCTACAAAACCATGAAAAAGTTGAGATGGAACCAAAAACAAGAGGCTCACATACCATTAGGAGCAATAAGTCGATCAACATGGTATTGCATAGTGCACCAAACAGACAGAAAAATATTAACAGAATGAAGTAATTAGTATCCATCAGCTACATAGCTAATTCCCTTCCTGTTGGTTTCCCACTTACTCGCTGCTGCTACAGAGAAGAGGGAATATTTTTTTGAAGGAAACCGTTTTGTGATAGAAACACACTTGGGGTCTTGATCGTACCCTACAACAGGCGGATGGAACGTGAAAAACACTTCAGCTCGGACCATAGCGTGTTTTCCCCTTCCGAGCATTCGTTTTCCCCTTTAACTGAAGCTAGGCTCTCTTCATAGACAAAAACCTTAAGGCTATAGAGTTCTCCGTGAGGTTCATCGTACTTAATTTCTTTGGTAATAGGGTTGTAAATAACCAAATGTGAAATGTTAGAATAAAAAATGAAATCTCCCTTTTTCGAGCAACCAAGTGGTCCCTCGACATCTGAAAAGGGCCCGATAGTTAATTGTTTAGTCCAATATCCTTCCTCCATCATCACCCATATGTCAAATTGCTTCTCTATTTCATTAGGATCATAAATCACCATAGCAATAGATTCGTTGTAGAAGGCAAGATAGCCTATTTGTGAATTCTGAATATATGGTGGTTCCAATATCTTTTGGAAAGCATCCTTTTTCATGTCAAACTGAAGGACCATATGGTTGCTAAAATCACTGTCACTGACTAGCCAATGATAAACTCCATTTATGCATGTGTTGCCTAAAGACTCACTCAAGTTGTCAGCCTGGCTGAAATCAGTTTCAACCGGTGTCCAAGTATCAGTACCTTGGTTATACACTAAAACAACTGCAGGATCGTGTGGAAAATCATCTTTTTCATCCCAAAGAAACTGAATCCAGACCACCTTGTAGTTATTTGTCACTGGGTCTAACCCAAATCCAAAATATTCACAGTATGCCTTCGTATAGGGTGGAAGGTTGGGATAGGATACAGGGAGAGATTTGAATTCTCTTATGTTGGGGTTCCACAATGCAAATTCATGCCCATCCCAAAAACAAATTACACCATTACATGTATCGATAATTGATGGATTTTTGGCCGTATGAGGATCTTCAAGATCATGATAAACAATGGGCATGCTGATAGGTGGTTCAACGTGAAACAGAGCTAAAGCATATATATGGGTGCCGTAGCTGTACCGTTCAACAAGGAGATAGGCACTGCGGTTTTGGTGATTGAGCTGCTTGTTAATGAAATTAGAGTTTTTGAGTAGAATACACCAATATTTGCAAACACACCGAAACCGTAGTAATGATTTTACAGGCAGCCTCGAGAGAATTTCAATTACCACGTCTTCTTGCATATGATGATCATAACTATTGTTTGCCATTGCTTCGATGGTTAATTAAGTCTTTTAATTATTTCGATTCAGGTTTTGAATTAATTCATTTTATGGTGATGAAACAAAGAAAATTCCAAAAAAAACTATAAAGTTCCAAAAGGATTCAGAATGAAATCAGATCTTATGATCATCATTAATTAGAAAGAACAGTATTAAAAATAATAAGAAAGAGGAAACAAAAAATAAATAAATTAAAAGAACTCAACAAAGTCTTTCCTTAATTAACTGGGATTTGCACAGCCTCAGAACTCTGAAATTAATAAAAATTCAGAGACAAGAAATCAAGAATAGAGAAGAAAAGGTTTATTGTATTTTTTCATTCAGCTTTAAGGTTATATTCGTAGTCAATGTCTCAATGTGTACATGTAGAATATATATAAATATATATTATAGGGATTATATTTGAAAACTATGAGCAAGATCAATAATAAAGAAAATAAAAATCATGGAAGAGCAGTGAAGGATAAAATAATTAAAAAATAAAAAATAAAAATAGCACAGAAAAGGAATGAAGGTTGGGGGAGGTTTTCTTGCGACAAAATGCATTTGTAAATGATTGATGGCAATTTGATGAATTTGCAGAATTCCGTTTTTCGCTTCTGATAGATTAGGGTGTGTCTCTCTAGAAAGTTTCTAAGCAACCGCTTTTTCCAATGAAACAATGGACGAAGGATCTCAGGATGTGCTTGGTGAAATTCATTCCGTTGTTAACGGCCTTCAAAATTCACGGTCCATATAGAACGATGAGGAAGTATTTTAAAGCTGGCTGTCAAAAAAAAACCCAAAATTCAGCGAGTCAAAGCTTTTGAAACCATATTTTCCTTTATTTGGGTGTATGGGTTCAAGCCTCAGTAGAGGAATGAAAAAATAAAATTTTGATTATACATTTGGTTATGAAAATGATAAGAAACTACCATTTTATGATTTTATTTTTTATTTGCAACCACGGTTGAGGTTATGGTCCTTTTTTTTTGCATTCTACCCTCATAGTTTATTCATTTTCAATAATATACTCATGAAATATTACATTTGCCCCCCTTAAAATTACTAAAAAAAATGAATTATTACCCCCCAAAATTCATTTTTGCCCCCTTATTTTACATCCTTACTCCGTCCCTGCTTAGAGCACCGCCATAATTCACAGTCGAGCACATGCATTGAACAATTTCTTAGGGGAAATTCAAACTCCCAACTTCTAAATTATGTGCGAGAGTCTTTGTCATTAGGCTACCCCTTAGATAGCGTGATAATTACCATGAAAGTGAGACATTATTGTAAGTTCATACTTTTTGAAGAAATCAATTTTTCTTTTTTCTTTTTTCTATTTTCTATTTTTTTTTTTTTTTTTGTAGGAAAATATTATAGGAAAGTTAGGTAGTCATGAAAAGTATTTTTTCGAAGGATGTTGTTTTGAAAGTCGGACTAGTTGTACTTCCGCAAACCAATCACACTTTCTCGGTTGGGCGCTTGGAAGAGTCGGACTTGTCGCACTTTTCCTGACCAATCTCATTTTCATAATATGTGTGGAATTTGTTTCCTTATCTAATTAGAAATTGCTTTCCAGACTATGCACACTCGTAAGACAAGTTGTTTTTTTATAATTAAATAATTTGATTGTAAGACTAGACTTGGACTGCCTACTTTGCTCCTCCTTCCCCAACCTTTGTTTGGCATAAATTAATTTGGTTCAAAAACCATATCCCTAAACACAGTTGCATTGCTTGGCTTGCAGTAAGAGGTAGACGTACTTTATACTTTGGACTCCAAGCCTATAGAATGAATCAATGGATCATTTGTTCTACAAATGTCGTTTTAGCTCACAAGTATGGAATGTTATACAAGAGATTGCAGGGTTCTACATTCTTCCAATTGCTGGAGTGACTTGATTGGCTGGTGCTCAACAAATTGGACTTCAAGAAAGTTTTTGATACACAAGCTTTTACTGTCTGCAACAATTTATTTCCTTTCGTAAGAGAGAAATGGAAGAGCCTTTAGGAACACATACACTTCACCTAATCACATTTTCTCACAAGCCAAATCTTGTATTACATCTAAACTTGCAGCAATTAAGTTGAAAAGCAATACTGATCTAAGGAGTTTTACAACTGAACATGACCTACACAGCTGGTTTGTACAAGCATGTGGTGCAGCTAGTGGGCACGCTTGGTTGATTACATAATGCTGGCATCAGATGTGCAATCCGTAAAGCTCAAATGGATGATTTGGATGGTTCAGGAAGCTGTGGTTGGAGGTTTAGTCAGGAAACTAGGTTGAGATTATTTTGGAAGGATGAGAAGGATTGGTTTATGGAAGTGCTTCCATTATATAGTGTTTCTTTTGGGGTGGTGGCTTCACATTAGGGCAACCTTTTGGCTTAGTTGTAATGTTGAATTTCTTCCCCTGGATGGGGCACTATGATGTAGATAGTTTTAGTAGGTTTATATTATTTTTAATTTTATTATTATTTTTTAATTTTAGGTTTTTAATTTCCTTCTATAATTAGTTTCTTTATATTTTTTTAGTTTACTTAAGCCATTAGTTTCTTTTATGTTATTAGTTTCTTTAGAATTATATTTATTATAAAAACATGTACTGTGATTGCAGAAAAAATCAACTAAATTATTAATAATATTTTAATTGCTTTACAATTTTTATTTAACTTTGTGAATTCAAAGTCACCACCTTACGGATTCAAGATAATCCCAGTTCCTTGTAAAAGCTTTTATCACTTTCGTTTATGTCAAAGTGAGTTTGCTCTTAACTCAAAACCAATTGTAGATTTGCTCCGAGCCCAAAAAGAGACAGTAAATTGGTTAATAGACTTCCTATGAGTTAATGATTGAATCCGGTAATTTTGTAAGCTTATCTAGCATAAAATTTCCATCAGCAAGACTTCTCCTTTTGTCATTGGAAAAAAAAAAAAAAAAAAAAAAAAAAAAAAAAAAAAAATATTGATCAACAACAACCAACCTATTCTTCCCATCTACTTCGGCTGGCTAAAGGAAAAAAATCAATTTGGGGATAAAAATTAATATAAAAATAGAATTTTCGGTTGTCGACTTGGTCAGGCTCGAAGGCTTAGACAATTCTTATCCTTATTTTCTCCCTCGAAAGAAAAAATCCACCTCTCATTTCTTCCAAAATTCATGGATCTCTCCTCTCATATAGTCCCATTTTGTCTTTCTTCTTCTTATACTTTCTCATTTCTTAGAGCCTTTCCCCCTTATTGGAAGACGCCATGATATGTAAGTCTCTCCCTCTCTAGCATCTTTCAATTTAAATAAAATTTATTCAGACATTTGAGGAAAAAATATCAACATTTGTTTAGGCATATTTCAAAAAATATTTAATATCTATTATCATATATGGTCAGGACTACAATTAAACATTATGACAAATAATCATTGAGATCCGCCTTATGATCTGTTCTTTACTCTTCAAATAATTGTTTTACAATAGTGATTTAGTAACATAATTTAGGTGGGAAGGCGTTGCCATTTTGAGAGAAAGAGGAAGGGGAAGTTGAGAAGTGGCTTAAATCTGGTGGTATGGGGTTTAAAATGTGGGTGAAGCAGAGGTAGAGAGAGAATGAAGTGGAAGAAGAAGAGAGGGTCATTTTGGTCAATTAAAAAAATTTATGAAGGTTATTTAATAATTCACATGGGTCAATTCAGAAATCAAAGTATAAATATGTACTTTTATCATGGTTGTGGTGTTTTTATTCCATTTATCAAACTTGGAGTGTCATTGTCCGAAAAATGTCTAAATTGTTCTACCTGTCTTTACGACAAACTTTGGGGATGTGTGAGCACGTCTTACTCTTTTTTTTTTTTTTTTTGCAATTCCAAATCCTAAGGTAGGCTCAATAAAATTGTTTGTTGCTGAAGTGCATTGTAGCTATGGGTGGATTCTAGAAAAATGGCAAAAGATTTTGAATGTTACATTGAATATATAATGGTCAGGTATAGGGATGAACGCGGTCCAGTTTTGAGGATTTTTGGAGCCAAATCACTCCCTATGGTTATAGAAAATCTGAAACCAAACCATACCATTTGAATCATGGAGCCGAACCAGCCCAAACCATGAAAAAACAGTTCAATTCAGTTCGGTTCGGTTCGGTTACACGATTCTAGTTGAATTTTTTTTCCTTATTTTTTTTTCCCTTAAATTGTATATACAACAAAAATAAAAGCATTCATATTCCCAAATCCAAGACTAAAATAGAGAGGGGAAAGTTTGTGAAATAGACCCAAAAGCTAAACCCTAGAAATTAAAATAAGGTTAAAACTTGTGGAAACTGAAAATGATGATAAATCTATAGTTGAAAACTAATAAACTTGATTCTTTATTGTTGTTGGTTGTGTTTGAGGTGCAAACACGCTGCGAGACTAAAAGATTTGTGAACTGAAAGTAGAGAGAAAGGGAGACAATGTGAGAAAGGATGTCACTAACGATAGCCATAAAATATTAATGGCGATGACTGAACTTCGAATGTTGCGTGGGAGAGATTGATTAACAATTGGATCCTGCAACAATGAAAAGTAAAAAGTGAATGAGACGACGTAAGCAAAGAAAAAAAATGAGATAATGGAGGAATGTTGGCACACACTAAAAAATCAAAACATTGGGGAAACAAAAACAAATAAAAAAAAAAAAAAAAAATAGATAGTGACAAATGTTGTCTCATCATTGTATCAAAATTCCTTGCAAAGTTAAGAGTAGTATATAGGTATAGCTATATATAATATAATATAACATATATATATATATATATACACACACACACACACACACATATTATAACTGTAGGACCCTAATCTGAGACTGAACTAAAAATTCACACTTCCATTATTTAAAGAACCGTGATCGGACCGAACCACTATGAAACTAGTCAGACCGCTCAATTTGGTCCGGTCCGATTTTGTTTTTCGGGTTGACGGTCTTTTTGCACCCCTTAGTCAGGAACACTAATTGTATTTTTGGGAGTGGGTTACTTTTAAATTTTATTTTACTATGTTCTTTTTTATGCATAGCTTCTCACTTCTAGTTCACTTCAAGCATTCCCATCATAAACGTAATAATGGATGAATGTGGAGCCCTTGGATTTCGTCATAAGTTTGAATTTTTGGATATTATAAACTGGAATGGGTTTGGATGATTCTCTTTGTAGTTGGAAAGATAAAGACAATAGTGAATTTGGACATTTTAAAAGGAATGGAATTAACGTGAAAAAAAAAAAAATACTTGACAAAAAATTAAATAAAAAGAAAAAAGGAAGAGAGAAAAGTGACATGAATGGAGCACCCTCACCCCGACGAAGTTTCATATATATTGAGACATAAAGACAATAGTGAATTTGGACATTTTAAAAGGAATGGAATTAACGTGAAAAAAAAAAAAAAAATACTTGCCAAAAAATTAAATAAAAAGAAAAAAGGAAGAGAGATAAGTGACATGAATGGAGCACCCTCACCCCGACGAAGTTTCATATATATTGAGTGACAACAAGTCAATTATAATACAAAATTTAAAAATAATGAAGAAAATAACAAGTATTTATTGGTTAAAAGCTTCATCCGACCACCGCTGCATAGTTACATGACTTTGTCTTATATATATAGTCGATTAATATATTTATTTATTGTAAAGATGAGCAGAAGTGGTCACAAAATTCTGTTACAAATGTAAAGTTATTTATAGGACAGATGTATTCATAATTTGGTTAAATTTTGTTTTTATTTTACAAATTTCTTCTTATATAGGAAACAAAGATTCACTCAAACCTTGCAGAGAAAGATGAAAGATGAAGTGCAAAAGTGAGAGTCAGCTATTGTCAGAAGATGTGGTAATTGATGTTCTCACAAGGTTGTCTGTGAAGTCGCTTCTGAGATTTAGGTGTGTGTGCAAACATTGGTACTCCCTCATCATAAACTCTAGATTCATTACAAATCACCTCCACCAGAGTAGCAACAGTGCTCGTCTCCTTGTTTATCATTACACTACTACCGCTGAAAAAAATATTATTTTTTCCCTATTCCTGGATGAAACGCTTGCTAGCTTCTTGCTTCTACACTACGATTTTGATGATGTTCAGGTCCCCAATGAACTAGGTATGTTGGGTAGCTTTAATGGCATACTTGGTCTTTGGCATTGGGACCGCATAGCTCTTTGGAACCTGGCTACAAGAGAATTCAGGAAAGTCCTTATGCCCAAACCTCACCTTCCATCCCATTTTTATGTTTATCATTGCTATTATGGATTGGGGCTCGACCCTGCAACAACCGATTACAAAGTGGTCTTGATTAGAAATTACTGGGATAGGGAGAAGAATGATCCATATTTTCCTAGAGTTGTTACCGTGTATAACCTATTTACGGATTCTTGGAGACTCTTCGAGGATTCGTCTCCATCTAGTTTCGTATATGAGTCTTCATCCAACACATACATGAATGGACTTTATTATTGGTTGACCAATGATGATACTAATCAATTCTATGCAATCCTTTCATTTGACATGAGAAATGAGGTTTTCCGACATGTACCCGGGCTTCCAAATCTATCCCAAATGGAATGTGGGGTCGTAGTCATGTACATTGATTCTATTGCTTTGATCTATTTTGATAGGCAAAAGGCTGAGAAACATTTTGATATATGGGTGATGGAAGAATATGGATGTTGGACTAAACAACTAACTATCGGGCCCCTTCTAGACGTTGAGTGGCCACTGGGATTCTGGAAAAACGGTGAGCTTTTCTTAAAAACTGGTACTGAAGATTTGGTTTTGTATGACCAAAATACCCGAGAAATTAAGAATCTCCAACATCATGAGTGCGATATTTTTATGTACAAGGAGAGTCTAGTTTCAGTCAGTGGAGAAAACAAAGGACGGGAAGGGGAAGATAGGTCCAATATGGCTCGACTTAAAGACTCTTTACCATTTCATCCCCGTGGCACACAGAAAATTTCGAACGGCTGAAGAAACAATTAATTCTTTTGAGTTTCTATCACATATTGTATCCTTGGTAGTGCTTTAAGAACCAGCGACAATGAAAAAAGGAACTTAAAAGCAATTGGTGGATATTGAATACCATCTCATGTTAACAGAGTTTTTTTCCATCTGTATAGTTTAAATTGTATTTGTATTCTCTATGATTTGAGAAAAGCAGCAGAAAATTCTCAATTGATGCAAAGAATTTTATTTTATTTATTTATTTATTTTAACTGAAGCTAAGGGATTTCGTCTGCAATCAAATTCAGGCTAGCTTTCCTTGGAAATTTGAAATTTTTTTCCTACTACAACAAAAACTAGATATAGCGACAGATATATCTGCTGCTAGAAGTGCTAAAAACAGCCACCATAGCCATTGGCAGCAGCCATCCCCCCAAAAGTGTGAGGTAAGAAGGGGGGTCGGGATGGGTTACATGTTTTATGGAAACAGGTCTGTTGCCTGAGGTTCACCAAGTGGCAGTAGGCAGGGGCGGAGGCAGAAATCTTAATTTGAGGGGCAGGATTATAAAAATGACAAAATGGAAGAAAAAAAAATTACTAGTCCAGTGCAAGAGTGAGAGAGACCGAACTAGAACTTCGAAATAAAATTTTAAAAATTATAAAGCTATCGTATTATAATTTTATTTGTAATATTATATTTATTAGTATATATATTGAGGAAAATACAATAAAAATGAGAAAAATGAACCTAAAAAAGTATATATGAAAATGATACGAAGATGGCAAAAGATAAAGAGGAGGAAGTAGTAAGTTAGAGGTAAAAAAAAGTTGTAATGAAAAAACATTCTTCAAGAATTAAAATTTATTCAACAATTGTTTCAATTTTTTTAAAAGAATTTTGGCTATGTTGATTCCACTTTGAGAAATAAGTCATTATTATTTACCGAAAAAATGACATGTCATTATTACCTTGACGGAGATTTAAGAATTTTTTTTTTGACGTTTAACTAAATAAAATACAATTAACATATACAAAGAGTTCTTTGATTCAGAGGAAAAAAAAATATAGGAATTGAAACTGCATATGAATATTATTCATTGATGGGGAATTGATACAGACTATAATCTTAGCTAAATTAGGTAGCTAATTATACAATAATCGGGAAACTAATTACCTACAAATTAGCTCTAAATCAGGGGATAAATATTCAATCATATAACTATACAATATGTACAATCCCGGATTACAAGAGAGCCTCAACACCCCCCCCCCCCCCCTCTCAAGTTGGTGTATAGACGTCACACATGCCCAACTTGTATAAAAATTTTGAAAACACTCGATTTGACACTGCTTTGGTGATAATGTCGGCTAGTTGATTCTTAGATCAAATCTTAGACAACTCCATAATTTTTCCATCCAACTTCTCTTTAATGAAGAATTTGTCTATTTCGACATGCTTTGTACGATCATGTTGAACTAGATTTTAGGCAATATCAGTATCTTTCAAGATACTCAAATATAAGAATTTGGTTGGTACAAAATCTAGAACAGGAACTGCAATATTTTTCAATGCTTTGCAATTTTTCTTTAAATTTTTCTCTTTATTTTTGTTTCTAGAGTCACATATGTCATTAGTTTTGATCATTATAGCAATGAAGAAATGTCAATCTAATTATATATATATAGAAGAAGCAATCTTAAGTATTTATACCTTAGAGAGATGTAATGTGATGTATATTAAAGCACATATACAATTTGACATGTATGGTGATTGAAACTTTATTCGTCAACATAGATATAAGATGAAACCTAAGAGTATCTCCAACTGTTGTATATATATTTTTGTATAAATCTAATGTGTTATGATAGATTTACATAAAAATTTTAAATTATTTATTTTTAGCTCCAATGGTTATTTTATACATTTTATATAAAAATATATTCCCCAATAATAACCAATCACGTGTTATGCCAGAACCCACATAACTTTTACAAACCTATTTAATATAGGGTTGATTCTTTAATGGAATGAAAAAGAGAGAGGAGAAAGAAAATATGATGCTGTAGTGGTGCAATCTTTGATGGAATGAGAAAGAGGAAGGAGAAAAGAAATATATTGATGTGCTATGTAAAAAGGTTGTGTAAAATATACAACAATTTACACATTGTAAAGATATTTTAACATATTGGTGGAGATGCATTATAAAATGGACTATAACTTTTCAAATAGTTAATTACCTTATATTTTAAAATGTATCTCATTACATTTGACACATAGATAGTCACATAGACTCAATAAAATAGTAGGTTTTTATTTGTCAGGGTAAATAGCAGTATACACACAAAAATTTGTACCTTAGGCTAAAATTATTGGCGAAACCATCGTCTCCACTCTCCAGCGCATTCAATACTTCAAAATTTCATAATTCGCAAGCTATACTTTCAAAAATTACAACTAATATATGCACGAAAAAATTATAAAATAGGGATACTAGAAATATAAGATTTGTGCAACAAGCCATCATATCTAAAGAGAAATAGGCAATAAAGAATATGCTTTAGAAATCTTATTTTATTTATAAAATAAAATAAAATACTCAGGATATTTACAAAAAAAAAAAAAAATTAGAATTATTCATTTGAATATGGACCATAACATATAAAAAAATTTAGCCCCAACAAAGGTAGATTTTTCATTTTGAATTTTTTTTCAATGGTGAGTCTATAAAAAAAAATGAACATACCTTGACGAACAATATGATATGTCATGAAATCGGTCTTTATTGCGGCTAAATTTTCTATATGTTATGCTTTGTATGTAAATGAATAATTCTGAAAATTTTATTACAAATATTCTGAAAAATAAATAAGATTGCTGGAACATATTCTTAGATTATCTATTTCTCTTTGGTCATGACTTCTTGTTATATAAATCTTATATTTCATAAGCTCTCTGTGCATATATATTTGGAATTTTTGGATATACGCTTTGTGAGATATGAATTTTGAAGTTTAAACAAATTGGGATTCAAACAAAACAGTAATAATGCCACTTTGATTTAAATATCCACTCTTTTACCTCTTCGGATAATTTGGGGAGGGGGAGGGTAAATGAAGTGTTAAATGATTCTTTTCACATATACCAACAAAATTGTTTCAAAATGATCTTGAATTTGATGTGGCGATAACTAAAAAGATATTAAAGTGTTGGAATTTTTATATATATATTTAAATAATAAAAATTATTTTATGGTCCTATGTACTACGTTTTCTAAAATAGGATTGCAATGTGATTATTGATACTTGATGGATTGGGTTGTACTTTCCAATTTGGTGGTTCAATTGGGAGTATGGTTTTATACCGTTGGATTGTGATTTTCCAACTTATTTGAGGTGATTTAATTCTAACCATTGGTATCTAAGTTTCCATGATAAGAAGGGAGACTTAGATATGCTTGTTTGTAGAGAAGCTGTCCCCCCCTGTTGTTGTTATATATAAGGGTTTTAAAACCCTTATTCAGTCCTATCGTATCGACGACTTTCAGAAAGGGGTAAATCGTTCTAATTTTTTTTCAGATCTCTCACAGGGCGCTAAAGAATTCTTAAAGGTATCTAAAGTTGAATTTTCTAATCAGGTATGATATCTAAATTACTCTTTAATTAATTACAGTATATTTGATTTCTACATGAATTATTGAAATAAAACCCAACAATTGGTACCAGAGCTAAGTTAGGATTTGTAAAAATCAAAATATGTTATTGATTCATATTTTCGTGGGTGAGTAATTAATTCTTCGGTTTAAAAACAAAATAAACAAAATACTTTATATAAAGTACAAATAATACTTTATACTTTATGATTAACATTTTGTCTTTTAATGAATTGATTATTGTTTTAATTTAAGCAATCAATTTATTAAAATCAATTTGTTATATAAACAAAATACTTTATATAACAATAAATAAAGTAGTACACAAATTGCTATCAGTTTGTTTTGTGATCAAATTGTGCACGCCGAACGAGATTCTTGTCCATCAATTTCTTGTGCAATCAGTTTGTATGCAAACATATATGGGTATGTAAATTACAAGTATATAAGGTCATTTGAGTATAGCACGTAGCTGATTGTTAATCATCAATCAGTCAAGATGTAGACGAAGCTTCTCATCCACCCGCACTTTAAAAGTCGCTAAGAATAATGGAGGGACTGTGCGACATTCAACATGCCATAGATTTGGTTCCAGGGGCACCATTACGAAACCAGCAGCATATTGAATCCCTCTAGCGCACCAATTTGAAATGTGAAGGCAAGCAAAATACCTAATTGCAAAGGGACTACACTATATATAAAACAAATGCATTGTTTTTAATACACAAACTATTTATTTAAATATTATAATATTATATTATGATGAAAGTTTGCTAAGAAACACTAGTCCTACGGATGCATATATAGGTATGAATACATAATTAATTCATGTATATATATATTCATGGGTTAGAGATGTACATATACAAGTGATGTAAATCTTTTCTTGCCCACATATTTGACTGATTGGTTTTGTGAGTAAGCCTTTGTATTGTGAATATATATGTTTTGATATATATATATATATATATATATATATATATATATATATAGATATGCAAGATTGCATGTTTAGTAGTGCGATTAATAGTAAAGAAATATATATATGTATGAAGTTTCTACTTTCATGAATTTAAAGTGGATTAGTTTATTTGAATGTGTTTATACATTCACGCATCAAATGCATAAATGGTCAATGAGGTATTAAAGTATGGCTTGTTTTTTGCCTAGTTGATGTCAGGTTTAGAATTTTAATTCATGTTATATTACATGTAATCAGTGACCTTTGAGTAGGACATGAGTGTGTGCCTATTTAGTCACATTGAGTAATTAATGACACTTGTTCAATTTTAAGTTGAAAACTTATGGGAGCTTGTGTGCCATAAGTAAGTATTATTAATCTAATTGATTTAAAGATTCAAAGTACTTTAAATTGTTTGTTGGATATATAATATACATGCATCAAGTTTTGTTATTTTATTTTCATTAAAGTATATATAGAATTGTGATTTTAAATCTTAATTGATGTGCATGTTATTATTATATTATTCACTGTAATTTCTTAAGATGTATGAGAAGGCTTTATGTTATTATTTGTATTAAAACCATTTATATTACAGTGAAATCAAGTGTTCCTTAATATTTAGGTTTAGTTTATGTGCATTATAAAGAAGTTGTTGAACTTAAATAAATGGAACTTCTGCAGTATAGGTTTTTCCTTGGGGTTTAGGAAGACCGGTAAAGTGACTGTTTTAAAGATAACAGTTAAAGTGGGTAATGCCTGCCAAAAGGTGACACGCTCATGGAGGTTATTATTTTATTGAAATTTTAAGACATTGGTCTTATTGAGGTCTCACAGTACACTTACCTACATGAGGGCATTTGTTCTGCCAAAAGGTGATCAATGTCTTAGTGTGGAATAAGTGAGTAGAATATTTGATAGTGCTTGGATTATAACTAAATAACCCTCTTGCCAAAAGGTAGTGGAAGTGTTTAGTAATAATTCAAGTATAATCAAATAGGTCTATGTGCGATTTGATCGCAGGTTTGGGGGTAAAATAAAATCTAAAATTCTGCCAAAAGGTGATTTTTAGATGGCATTTTATTTGTTTCCGCGGGGTGGATGGTTTTGCACATAGTAAAACACCCTGATAAATTCGGCTTAAAACCCCAAGCACGAATTAAAGTTATAATCCCTAAAGCTGAGATATATTACTATATGTTGTTTTTGTGATGTTATTCAATATAACATTTATTCAGGTTACAGACGCTTCGGCAATTTAAAGATACCTTATAGGGATTGAACCATTAAATGGTTAAAATTATACTGCCTAGAAGACAAGTTTTGATATTATATTGGATTTCTTGGACTACGTGTCTGTTGTTTTAGAAAGAAACCCATATGCCCAGTGCATTGTCTTCTTAGGTAGAAAAGTTGTTGCATTTTTTAAGTGAACTACAGGTACTACCATGCCATTAGATTAATTTATACTTCTATTGGTGATACTATTCAGGGTGGTATTCTAGTTTAGATATTGCCAAGGAGCTTCTTGATTTGATCAAGAAAGAGTTAATGGGTATTAAGAAGTAACTACAATACTATTATCTGACATGGATTATGTTAGTGGATATGATGGTAATGGTTCAGTGAGGGAGTACATCTATAAGATGTGCAAGCTAGTTAATGATCTGAGGTAGTAAAGAATCATATTTGCTAATAAGTTAATTAGTCCACATGGTGATCTATTCTCTCCTTAGGTTTTTCCAGGTTTTCAAGGTAAATTATAATTCACAAAAAGTTAAATGTGGCATTAACCAGCTGTTAGCATTTTGTGTTATTGAATGGAAACGACTCAAGGGTGTTAAAACTGAGTCAGCTTATCTTACGGTGATAGTAAGAATAGTTTCATGAAGAAACTAGGCGGCAAGAAAGTGAATAAGGCTAAACAAAATAAAAACATTGATCATGGAATGATAAATATTGATCATGTAGAAATAAAAGGACATCAAAAGAAAAGGTTATTATGGTGAAAAGAAAAACAAAACAAGAAAGAAAATTACCATATTAATATTTGAGCCTAACTTGGTAAAAATATAGGTATAAACATGGTGGATGGATTCGGGTGTGATCTTACTTGCTTCTTGTTTTTCAATTGACTCGATACCATCCGAATAAAATCGTGTTTTGGTCAGAGAGGATTCATCTATGTTATGCATAGGATCTTAGGGAATGTCTCTCAAAAAGAGATTTGAACGCTTGGTCAAGGATGAGATTATTAGGCCACAAATTTTATGCATTGGTTGTGTCAAAGGACAAATGCTAAGAAACGCAATTTTAAGGCTAGTCGGTCATTTGGTTTTAGACTATATTTATACCGACATTTGTGGTCCATTTCTTATTGTAACTCGTTTGCAGCAAAGGTATTTCATTGTCTTCATTGATTGGTTCTTAAGGTATGATTGTGTACTTAATCCACCAGAAGTCCGAAGCACTTGATGTGTGTAAAATCTACTAGACTAAAGTTGAAAGTAATTGGTATAAAGATTATGATTTTAAGATCAGACTAAGGTGGTGAGTTTTAATAGGAGAATGATAAGAAGGGTGTAAATAGTATTTTTTTTCAATACATACTTAAAGAGTAAGGTATTGTGCCACAATACACCATTCCTAGTTTTCCTGAACAGAATAAAGTTGCAGAAAATAGAAAGTGTAGGGATATCTTATAGAGACATAGTTATATAATGCAGATATTAAGGAGTTTAACACTCACATTACCAATGATTATTTTATTAGACATCTTGAAAGATTAAAGAATTCGAGATTTTACTGTCCTGTAGACCTATGGAGATTATTGGAATATGTCATGCATATTTAATGAGAGTGGTGAATCCAGTGGGAGTTTAAGATATTGTAGTTTCTTTTTGCAAAAAGGTATTTTCAGCATCTATTTTATTTATTCCAAGCTTCATTCCACTTTTTTTAGTGGTTTCAGTTAAAGCTCATATTCCTACTCTTTCAATTATTTCTCCTTTGCAGACCTTTCTTTCAGTTTCTAATCTAGTTCCTAAGCCAGTTTAGCTTAGGAGATTTTCAAGAGCTTGGAAGTATGCTGTAGTTGGTAATTTTGAGATGTCTGGTAGATATAAGACAAAAATTGATGGCTAAGTACTTAAGCAAAAGTTAAGTGTTGATTTTTTTGAGATTTTCTCCAGCTTAATTAAACGACTTTTTAAAAGTCATTTTTTCATTATCACTCATTTATGGATTAAGTAAGTTTTAAAGCAGTAGTATCCAAAGTTTTGATACAGTGGTTACTAATTGTAAGTTCAAAGAGAATGTTATGGATAAATGCATATACCTCAAGTTCAGTGGGAGTCATTTTGTTTTCTTTGTCCTATATGTTGATGATATTTTGCAAGGTAGCAATGACATTCATGTGATACATGATATTAAGAATTTTATGTAAAGTTTTGACATAAAGGACATGGGTATGAAAAGTATGTCATTGGCTTTAGAATCCACATAGATCATGCTACTGAAATATTTGGACTTTCTCAAAAGGCTTTTATATGAAAAATTTTAACGGTGACCAACCGTAATAAGCCCATTGACATAAAGTTCATTTTCAAGTATGAGAAAGTTAAGGTTTAAGTGCCTTTAAAATTTCCCCATATGGTTACAGAAATATTGTTACATGTCCTCTCACTAAAAGTCTTCAGCAAAAAATAATAAAGTATTTATAAAGCACGTGATTCGGATAGGTGTTCGAGAGTCATTATGTTGTGATGTCCGGTATTTCTTTTATATATGTTACATTGCAGTTAGTTTCTTTACGCCTTGTGGTGACAGTTATTTTTTCTCCAGTTTACGCCTTATGGTGATAGTTATTTGCATCCAAAATAAAGTTATGATGCATAATTATTATTATCTTGATATACATGGTTTATGCACGTGCTATTATGTTTGCCTGGAGTGATATTTCACTCATGAGGTTGTTTGGGTTAGATATGAGATTGGCACGACATCGATAAATCCAAAATAATTATTAAAGGTTGTCTGAGAGTGATAATTCACTCATACGATTGTTTGGGCTAGATATAAGATTGACACCATATTTGTAAATCCAAATATAAGATTTGTCTGGGAGTGGTATTTTACTCATGAGGTTGTTTGTATTAGATGTGAGATTGACACTACATTGGTAAATCCAAACATGAATATTAAATTTTGCCTGTGGGAGTTTTTCACACTCCATGAGGATAACTTGGGCTAGATATGGGATTAGCTCCATATCGGTAAACCCTCACATTGAACAGAAGGTTGGCGGTTTGCTGTAATTTGTTTAGGTGACATACCGCGATGGTATGAAGTAGGATGGATAGCTTGGGCTAGATATGGGATTGGCTCCATATCGGTAAACCCTCACACTAAACAGAAGGTTGGCGGTTTGCTGTAATATGTTCAAGTGACATACTGCGATGGTATGAAGCAGGACGGATAGTGAGGTGTGCGTTTAGATCCCATGCAGTTTGCACATCTCATGAAATACAGTAAAACCACTATATTTGCTTGAATCCTAGATGGAATCAGTTTTGAGACCATGGAACTGTTTAGACTAATATATTACTTGTCTACGCATTCATGATCCACTATTGAGGAAATTTATGGAGAAGAGTGTTCTAAAGTTTCAATCCATCAATTTCGATAATTGTGTTTTCTAAATAAAAATGAGTGGCCACTCGATTTTTATAAAATATGTTGCAATCCATAGTGTCATTTTATAAAACTTAGAGTGCATGGACCAAGTGGGAGATTGTTGGAATTTATATATATATATTTAAATAATAAAAATTATTTTATGGTCCTATGTATTACGTTTTCTAAAATAAGATTGCAATGTGATTATTGATACTTGATGGATTGGGTTGTACTTTCCAATTTGGTGGTTCAATTGGGAGTATGGTTTTATACAGTTGGATTGTGGTTTTCCAACTTATTTGGTGTGATTTAATTCTAACCATTTATATCTAAGTTTCCATGATAGGAAGGGAGACTTAGATATGCTTGTTTGTAGAGAAGCCGTCCCCCTGTTGTTGTTATATATAAGGGTTTTAAAACCCTTATTCAGTCCTATCGTATCGACGACTTTCAGAAGTGGATAAATCGCTCTAATTTTTTTTCAGATCTCTCAAAGGGCGCTAAGGAATTCTTAAAGGTATCTAAAGTTGAATTTTCTAATCATGTATGATATCTAAATTACTCTTTAATTAATTACAGTATATTTGATTTTTACATGAATTATTGAAATAAAACCCAACATAAAGTTCTCTATTTTAGTATATATTACTCTTTTATACATTTATGTTTCCTATTTTAACAAACTAAAAAAATTGTCAATTAAAGGAAAATCAAAGAACGAACAATTACACTAGGTTTCTCTATCTCTAATTTGCTTTTCTCAACTAATATTTTTTTTTATATATTTTCTCTTTTGCAGTCTATGTATTTTTCATGCACTTTATATGTGTTGGGTTTCTTTTTCAAATTTAACTTTAATCAGAAAATACCAAATCCAAATATAATCATAAAAAGTTTTAAGTGAATTATGTAAATTATGGTCATTCATTCATGGTAAAAAATTGTAACTTTTAGTTTAAATTATTTGACGATTTAATAGAAGGGGTTCTTAGTCATTAGAAAGAAGTCACTTATTTATGGTAAAAAAATTGTAACTTCTAGTTTTAATTATTTAAAGATTTAATAGAAATTGCCTCCCAAACGAATATATATACTGGCATAATTAATTGAATTCAAGTTAATTAAGTTATACGAGGGTTTGGATTTTATAATTGTAAGTTTTGCTATTTATTTTTTCTTACCTATATTAAGATATTTTTTATATTAAAAAATTTGTTTTTAAAACACACAAAGCAGCCAAGCTAACAAATAAACATCCACCTAATTCAAAATAAAATTATAAATCAAAATTTGTGAAGTATGGCATTTTCCATTATAGAGTTTGTATGAGCTTTTAGCTATTTGAAGTTAGACCGTTTTGTGTAAAATATACACAATGTGTAATTTTTTTTATTATTTTTATTATTATTATTTTTTTTTATCTCAAGGAGTATGTTAAGATATATCATCATCTCACCAATGTCTAAAATTATTGTGTATTTTGCACAATCTTTTTATACAGTCATATTAACATATTTCATTTCTTCTCAATTTTTCTCATTTCATTAATGAATCAACCCATCGTATTTTCTTTCCGCTCTCTCTTTCTCATTTTATTAACGAATCAACACTATATTAAATATATTTGTAAAAGTTATGTAGAGTCTTGGACATGACACATAATTAATTGTCATTGACAGATACATTTTTACTCAAAAATATATAAAACGATGGTTGGAACAATAATTAGCAGTCTATTTTGTGTAATTCTACTATGAGAGGTGACATTTACACAAAATATATATATATATATATATATATATATATATATATATATGGAAAATAATTGAGTCCTGCCTTATCAGGGCAACTTTTGTCCTCTTATATTATGTAGCCCAATCAAAACATGACAAATGTCCAAACTAAAAATAATCAAACCCATTTTAAACCGGTTAGAAATCTAATGACCCATCTGAATTCAACATCTCATTTTTATTTCTCACTTCTCCTCTTTCCAGCAAACACTATTTTCTCTCTCTAGCAAACCCATCACCACTAGTTTCTAATTTCTAATTTCTTTCACTTTTCTCTCTCCAGCATACCCATCGCTGTTTCATCACATTTCTCTGACTACTCTCTATATATACAACAAACTCATCACCACATCTTTGATCTTTGGTGCCAAATACTTGACCTTCTCATTGTCTCCACCACAACCACCTCCTCCACCACCGGGGTTGGGGACTCATCCGCCCTTGTATTGTTTTGTGGGCGCACAGCTTTCTTTTCTGATACGGATGGCGGTGAAGATAAGGGTGGTGCTGAGATCAATTCTGGACTGTGGGAATGTAGCTACCGAGATCGCCGACGGAGCCGCTCGGACCATACGAAAAAAATTTTGATGCCCTATTTTTTTTTTACCTAACTCTTTAAAAAGTTAATTTTTTTGCAAGAATGCTAAGTTTCGAGGTTCTTATGTCTCTCTTGAAATCTGCTACCAAGTTTTCAAAAGATGATGTTGAAATTCAAGAAATCGAAGTCGAATGCACTTAGAAGACAGAATGAATGCTCTACCTCGGCGAATCTGAAAAACAGAATAAAAAAAGAGCAACAAAATCAACCGCTAAACAAGTTTTTTTACAATTAAATTCAGAGTTGAAGAAGTACCAATCGTGTTTCTTTTCACAAGAAGAATGCATAAAATTTATAGATACAGATCACTGAGAGCCGGCAGAATAAATCATGAATCTAAAATCCAAATTTATGAGCTTTTCTTTTGTTTTTGAGTTTTAAGCTGTATAAACCTTGAAAGAGAAAGGGCAACAAACGAGTAGAGAGAAGGTGGGTAGCGGCGGTGGCAGCAGCTATTCAGACCGGAGATGCTCAATGACCTATATTTCTGCCGTCTGGATTTTTCAAGGATTCACCCGGAGTAAAACGGGTTGGATCCACCTCTAGACTTTTTTAATAATATTTTTAATTTGGAACAGATGTTAGTGTTTCAATGGTCCACATCAACTGCAGGACAAATTTTGTCCTGATAGGGCAGGATCAAGCATTGCTCAAAAAATATAAACAACCTTTAGAGACGCTTTTAGTAACTGAATTTATAATTACTGAATTTAATTAATGTGAGAGGGGTGGATGGGTGGTGGGTATCATCGTATGACATCATGGTGACGTTTCATGATGAAATCCACCACTCCACTAATATAAATTGAATCCTTTAGGCTATGTTTGGTAGGATGGGTTTGAAGGGGGAGGATAACATTAGTTATAAGGGAAAGGGAAGGAAAGGGAAGGGAAGGATAAGTTTAATCCTCAATCGTGTTTGGTTGATTAATGAAGGAAAAGAAAGGGAAGGATAACAATCATGTTTGGGAAAAGAGAGGAAAGGGAAGGATAATAAAAAATTTACTATTATGCCCTTTATATATTTTAAAAGATAAATTTTTAGATTTAAATATGCAACAATATTTTTGCCCCAAGATTCGGTTCTAAGGCTCAGTTTGGTAGCAAATGCCACATTCATCTTCTCTTTCCAAATCAATATTTCAAAACTCAACAGCACTTAACTAATTTATGCAGTGGCATTGAGGCTAAGCAGCCCAACTTTGCCATGAGAAAATCTGCTCGTGTGCAGCTGATTAAGAATGGGAAGAAGATCGCTGCATTTGTACCCAATGATGGTTGCTTAAACTATAGTCTCCTCAATATAGTTTAGTGTAGATCTTCTTTAATGTATCAAATCTTATAAAAGGAGCCGGCTCAAGTAAAAGTGGAGGAGGCTCCAATATGAATGGAGCAGGCTCTACTTTAAGTAGAGGAGGCTCCAATATGAGTAGAGCAGGCTCCCAATTACTAGATCTTCCTTCAAGCAAGTAACAACAGAGAAAAGTAAAAAAATGATCATTAATTTAATCTTTAAATTTGGCTTCTTACTTTTTTGGGTGAGAGGGGTTTGATCACAAATGTAATCAATGATGATCAACAACATAAAACAGTAAGTTAGGTTCTTTCTGACTTTATTTAAAAAAAAAAAAAAAAAACTTAACAACCCAAGGCATGAAGTGGATCGAACATACAGATCCACCAATTTCTTGCAAATACCATATCTTCAACTGAAAAGAATCAAAGACGCCAAAAGATTCTATAGTGAATTATGTTTGTGCTAATTTCGACTAAAAATTAAGAGCAGGAATATATATAAATTGAAGAGGGAATTTCATGGATTTAACATACCAGTGAAGGAACCCATCATATGGAAGAATTCGCCCAAAGCAAGATGAAGTCTCCTAAGTCAGTTTGCTCTCTGGAATGTTTCAATAATGACCCCAAATTAGGAAGTGCCGAGATATAATGGGAATAGGACACTTGAAGGGAGCCGGCTCAACCATGATCATGGAGCCGGCTCTTATGGGTTTTTGAGAGGTGCCGAGTGAAATAGGAAGGATGTAGATGAGTGGAGCCGGCTCTTCCTTTTTGTGGAGCCGGCTCCACATTTTTTTTGGAGCCGCCTCAAGTAGTTGCTGGAGCCGGCTCTCTTGGGCATTTGAGAAATCCCGAGAGTTGGTGTATGCAGGCCAATAAAGGAGCCGGCTCAACCTATTTCTAGAGGCGGCTCTTCTTGGAGATGCCGAGAGCATGGATTTAGGAAATTTAAGGAGCCGTTACAAACCTTTCCCTTCTATCTCTATCATCAACTTCCTCCTCCGGCACAGAGACCATGCATTGAACCCACTTCCCCTTCTCTCTCTCCCATACGTGAACCCACTTCCCCCTTTTCTCTCTCCTATTTCTTCTTATACCAGTGAATTTTGGCGCCTTTGTTCCCGCACTGAATATACGCCTTCCTTTGTTCCCGCGCTGAATACAGGCCCTAATATGAAGAGCAAATTTGAGGGTAAAATTGGCCTAACAAATATTTTGTATGCCATTGCCTTCCCTTTCCTTCCTTATCCTCCCAATTTTGGAAGGTTAACAAGTTACTGTACGTTGCTTATAAATAACCCTCCAAACCCCTCCCTCTCCTTCCCTTTCCCTCCACTAACTTTACCCAAACACAATTTTTTTATTACCCTCCGTCCCCTTCCCTTCCCTTTTCCTTCAAACCCATCATACCAAACTGACCCTTAGAGATGCTTTTAGTAACTGAATTTATAATTACTGAATTTAATTAATGTGAGAGGGGTGGATGGGTGGTGGGCATCATCGTATGACATCATGGTGACGTTTCATGATGAAATCCACCACTCCACTCATATAAATTGAATCCTTTAGAGACGCTTTTAGTAACTAAATTTATAATTACTGAATTTAATTAATGTGAGAAGGGTGGATGGGTGGTGGGTATCATCGTATGACATCATGGTGACGTTTCATGATGAAATCCACCACTCCACTCATATAAATTGAATTCTTAGCTATTCTTCCTCCCAAACCTTCTCACAATTTCAACTTTTACATATATTTATCTCCTTAAAAAAAATAAAAATAAAAAATAAAAGAGGTCCACCTCATATTTATCTCCTCCAGAGTACTAATGTAAAAAAGGTTTTCCTTTCTTTTCATTTTGCAGAACTCATACCCTAATCCGAAGACACCGTGGTATCTCTCATTCTTTCTCTAATTTCTTTAATTTATTGTGCTGATTGTGAAAGATATTATAGAGATTCCTTCAAACATACAATAATGATCTTCTTAGGTTTTCCATTTTACCATATAAATTGGAAAACATCAAAAGTGAAATCCATATGACATTGTTCTTCTTCAAAAAAACTTTTTACATTGCTTTTGCAATCAAGATTGGGATTTACTTCAAGTTTTTCTTGTTTTTGATTTTCATTTATGTAGGTCATGGGGAATTAGTTTTATATGCAATTAGTATCTTGAATTTTGTGTCGTGATCTGTGGATTTGGTGATTTAGATATCCGCATATCTGATAACTCTAATAGCATATGTGATTGGTAGGCTTTGGTTTTGATTTGGCAATACCCATTTATGTAAATGAATTTTGTAAAATGATTTCTCTAAACACATAGTTTGGAAGAAGCAACTGTGTAAATGCTTTTTAAACATGAAAAACATATAATATCTGACACTTATATAAAGGATGCAAATCAGACAATAATACACTAAAATTACTCCATTTGAATAGGGGAATGCAACTTCAGGAAACACAGAAAAAAATGTAAGGTAGAAATACTTCTATTTTATTAGTTGAATGGTTTAATCTAATAATGCTTGCTTTTATTGTTGTCTTGTACAAATTTAGGAATCAAGTATATTAAGTTTCTATGTGCTTGATTACTTCAAAATTTTCTCGTAAAACTTTTCATTTCATTTTCTTTCATTCTTCAATGCTTTCATTAATGAAATTAGCAACACTGCAAGACCGTCGGTCACACCACTTTTTAATGATTTAGATTAATTATTACAAAGTTAAGCAAATGAATCTACAATTTGATTATTTTTTTAATTTGATCATGTTGTTCATTTTTTTAGGTAAATTAAAAGGATTGACTAAGTGCTTAAATCAGGAAAAATATTGAGCTTCAATGTTGAGGGTCCATGGTAATTATCATGCATCAGAAAATGCCACAATTGAGATTCTCTTAAGGTTGCCCGTGAAATCACTGATGCGTTTCAAGTGTGTTTGCAAAACCTGGAACACTATTGTCAGAAACCCTAACTTCATTAGCAAACAACTCAACCACCACAAAAACAATGCACGTCTACTTATTCAATATTACAATTATTGCACAGGTGAATTTGTTTTTGCCCTATTTCTTGATGAAACACTAAGCAAAGAGCCCCTTTTATCTCATGATCTTGATGATCAACAAATGTACCGTGCGAAAGGTGTCATTGGCCCCTTTAACGGAATACTTGGACTTTGGGATTGGAATGACATAGCTCTGTTGAACCCTGCTACGAGAGAATTTAGGTTCCTAGATCTCTCAGTACCTGACACCAACCTTCCACCCTATTTTGATCCCTATTATTATTCTTTTGGATTTGGGTTAGACCGCACTACAAATGATTACAAGGTTGTTTGGATTCGTGACTTCTGGGATGACAAAAATGATATCCCATATAATCCTAGAGTTGTTTCGGTCTACACACTGGGTACAGATTCTTGGAGAGTCTTTGAAATTGAATTATCCCAAATTCATACCATACAAGATCCATTGTGTAATGCATACAAGAATGGATTTTATTATTGGTTAGACTTTGGAGATATTCACTATTTGATCCTTTCGTTTGACATGGATAATGAGGTTTTTAGAGTGATAACAGTGCGAGATGTACCCACATCAAATATACCCAAATCAAGATGCGCGGCCCTTTCTATGTACAATGATTCTATAGCTATATTTCTTTACGATCTAAGTGGGGTTGAGAAACATTTTGACATATGGTCGATGGAGGAGGATGAGTGTTGGACGAAACAACTAACTATTGGACCCATTTTAGATGTTGAAAGGCCACTTGTGTCATGGAAAAATGGTGAACTTTTTTTAGAACGACGGGACACTGCAGAGTTGGTTTTGTACAATCATAATACGGGAGAAACTAAATACTTCAGACAGCGTGGGAAGGATGCCATTCTTAAGCCTTTTATCTACCAGGAGAGCCTTGTTTCAGTTTTTGGAAGGAAGTGATATTTATTTATTTTGTTCAAGGCAAAAGCATTGTGTTAGTAGTTCCACCAGCTCATTTACTTTTAAATTATACTAATTCATAGCAATTCTAGCTAAAACAACAGCGTTATAATATAGTGGTATTTTTTTTACGTTTCAAAGTGGATGATGAGACTTCAAGTCTCCAGAAGAACAAATGAGCGTCTGAGTTGTTTTTTGCAACGAGAAAAAAAAAAAAAATAAATAAATAAAAAATAATCTAACTTGAGTATGGGCTGATTTCCTGCAGTTTGCATTACTGAGAAATCTTGGAAAGTTTTTAGCAACACTTTCATATCTCCACAACATTTTCAATCAGAAATACGGAAGAGAAAGAACCTCAATAGCTTTCACTACATTGGTAGCATCATTTATCCAATATGGTTTCATAAGATGACTTCCATGGGCATCTTGTTTCGTAGATACATGTTTAAAGTATCATAACAATGAGTAGAGTAAAAAGGAGAGGTAAATGCATAAATTGGGGATTATTACCTAATTTTTTTCTTTTTTCTTTCCGTTTTTTTCGATTTGTGTACACTATTAAAACTGATAATCCTATCTTCCGAGTATTAGCAAAACATAGTTAGCTCCAAGATATAACTCAATCAGCTCGCAACGACATCTCCTCTATGTGCAAGACTCCAGGAAAATTAGATTCAAGTCTATATATATCTTGTTCCTCATAAACTCTATATGTAAAATACTCTCAAAAAAAAAAAAAAAAGATGGAATTTTTAATAGGCTCACACAGCCTTGTACAAGTGGTACCCTACAAAATTACCATACGCCAAATGAGAGATAATGGATGATTTATGTACATAGTATGAATACGCCTAAGGTATAATAATAATTAAAATTATAATTGAAATAAGATTCACTAGAAGTATAATTTAACTCATTAAAAAATATTAATCATTATAAATATAATAAAATATTATATTAAATATTATTTATGTTTTTTTAAAAATATTCATCACAAAAGCCATTGCATATAAAGGGGTGTAGTATTGGTGTACCAAACTTAGTCTTAGTATGTAATATTGTGTACTTCAGAGAATAATATAAATAAATAAATATAAATATACTTCCTTTATATATTTGAGTGAAACCACTATCAATTTCAACATTCATTACATGCCAATTTCATAATTTTCTTGTTTTCTAGGACTTTGAAGAAAACAGCTGAACAGAGGGACATTTTTAAAGAAATTGAGTTATTATTTCCAATCTTCATGACACGAGAGAACCTAGAGAATTACATTAAGTTTTAAATATATATATATATATATATATATAGTTAACTCATTAAAAAATAATAATCATTATAAATATGATAAAATATTATATTAAATATTATTTATGTTTTTTTAAAAATATTCATCACAAAATCCATTGCATATGAAGGGGGTGTAGTATTGGTGTACCAAACTTAGTCTTAGTATGTAATATTGTGTACTTCAGAGAATAATATAAATAAATAAATGTAAATATACGTCCTTTATATATTTGAGTGAAACCACTATCAATTTCAACATTCATAACATGCCAATTTTCATAATTTTCTTGTTTTCTAGGACTTTGAAGAAAACAGTTGAACAGAGGGACATTTTTAAAGAAATGGAATTATTATTTCCAATCTTCATGACACGAGAGAACCGAGAGAATTACATTAAGTTTTAAATTTATATATATATATATATATATATATATATATTAGGGGTGGCAAATTACGACACGATACGATAATATGATACGAACATGACACGAGTTAAGAGGGTTTGGGTTTGTCATAAACGAGTTTTGGTCATAAAAGGGTTGACACGATTAACCCGTTTACTTAACCGTGTCGGATTAGGGTTGAGGGGTTCAACCCGTGTAACCCCTTTATAACTCGTGTAACTTAATATGTTATAATTATGAATATAACCTATGTAATATGCTGTCTGTTTAAACCCAAATACTATGGATAATTAATTAATTTCAGTATAAACCTTGTCTATGCATTATGATTTTTTTATTTTGAATATTTGAGTTAATTATGACAATTTTTTCTATTATTTAGTATTTGATAAAATATTAAATGTCTTATTTTAATAAATAGGTCATTAAACGGGTTAACACGTTTACCTGTTTAATAAACGAGTTGGGTTAGTGTAGAGGATTCTTGATAGAATTATTAAATGGGTTGAGTTTGGGTTTACCTATTTAGTATAATACCCTTATATCGACACGACATGAACACGACCTACGAACACGAATTGCCACCCCTAATATATGTACACATATGTTTATACATACACCCATATAAATAAATAATTATATATCTATATATTTTTTTGTCCTATTAATTAAGGAAACGAGTAAGTAATGAGGTTAAAAGTGGCCAATAACAACAACGACTATTAATGAATAGTGGCTCAAGCGACTGTCCATAGCATTCCTCAATTTTCTTTGTCAATAACATCCTGTCTTTTGATATTGTTTTATATGAATAATTATTTTCAATTTCATATAAGCTATATAACATCAAAACTACTTAGATTTGATCTTTTCAAATTTCTCGAGTGATGTTTCGAAATCAACTGAGTTTTATACGTACAAAGAAGGCTCACTAAAGAAGGTTACAAACTAAGCCATTAATATATTCAGTTTATTTTGACTTTGTGAGTACCACGGTGCGGAAACTGTTATGTTAATTAAGTTATTAATCACCCTCTAAATGATCTAGAAGGGGAGTGAATAAGTCAACTTGCCTAATTTTTGTGATTGATTAATTACTTACAATGATTATTAATTAAACATCCACAACTACAAAAATTAAACAAGAAAGTAAAGCAAGTAAAATATAGTTTTAGAGATGTTGATACTAGGCTTTTAGTGAGGAAACCCTAATTAATTAGTGTGACGTTCCAAATTTTCACAGACTCGGATATGTTAATGTGACCCGAAAGTTGACCTGATAACGGATCCAGAATGCGGAAGTGAAAACAAAGAAAACAAGGTTCCTAGGGATAAACGGCGTCCCAAGAACGCTAGAGTGACTTTCCATGAAGTCACAGAGTTTAAAAGAAAACAAAATGCGAAAACGATATTTTAAAAACGGATAATTTTAGCCCTAGGGGAAAAACGGTAATTTTTAAAAAGTTATGCGTGTTACTGGGCACACCATTGGATAGATAACAAAAAATTAATGAACTTAGACTCAAGAATCACTTGATTCGGATTTCGGACGGAAGAGAAAAGACAAAAACAAAATCCGGCGTCGTCGTGGCCGAGGGGGCACCAGGACCAAGCCCCATGTGTGCGCCCTGCTCATGCGCCCCTGGGTGCGCGTCCGCGCGCCTATGCTCTAATACCACCTATGACATTCCGAATTTTCACAAACCCGAATATATTAATGTGACTCAAAAGATGACCCGATAACGGATCCAGAATACGGAAACGAAAATAAAGAAAACAGGGTTGCTAGGGATAAACGTCATCCCAAGAATGCTAGAGTGACTTTCCATGAAGTCACGGAGTTTAAAAGAAAAGAAAATGCGGAAACGATATTTTAAAAACTGACAATTTTAGCCCTAGGGATAAAACAGTAATTTGTAGAAAATTATGGGTGCTACTAAGTATATTATTGGATATACAACGAAAAATTAATAAACTTAGACTTAAAAATCACTTGATTCAGAGGCCGGACGGAAGAGAAAAGACAAAAACAAAATCGGGCATTGTCGCGGCCTGAGAGGCACCAGGGCCAAGCACTTGGGCACATTTAGGAAAGTGCTGTGCGTGCGGGCACTATTGGTGCAAACCTAGGCACATTCAGGAAAACGACCTTTTTTTGAAAAACACGAAGCAGAAACCCCCCCTAAAATAATTTTTCCAAGCTGATCATGCCAAAAAAAAAAAAAAAAAAAAAAATTTATTTTTCACCTGAATTGCCCAAAATGCCCTTGAGATCAGTTTTGACGAAAAATGCTAAAATGCAAGTTTGCTTCAAGTGTTCAAAATGACCAAATATGAAGTTATGTGCTAAAACGATTATGCACGCAAGCGTAATAAGTGTTTTAAAATGTGTTAGAATGGTCTGTGACACCCAAATATGCCCGATGCAAAATCCGACCTATTAAACCTCAAAAATACCTTAAAATGGAAAGTTTGAAGTCAACAACCACCAACCATATTATGCAACTGTGATATTTTGTGCAAAGTGAGCATTCTCGCAAACGTAATATACATAATAAAATGCGTTACAATGATCCATGACCTCAAAATATTCCCAATGCAAAATATGATACGTCCAAACCCCTAAAGCATGAAAAATGGCCTTTTTGAAGTCAATCACCATAGATGCATTCAAAGGCCTGTTTGACCCTTGACCACACGTCACATACAATAAAAGAGCACTAGGAAATGTGTTTAAATACACTTCCCACCATCCAAGCTAAAAATGACATGCTAAAGCTTCACATTTTTCTATTTTTACCACATTTAAGCATATAGTCAAATAATATAAAATTAAAGCATAAAGTCATTAACCATTGGCTTCATTACATACATGTCAAATAGGTCTCAAATGGTGCATTTAAGCAGTTTTTTTTTCCTAGGTAAAGTGGAAATTTTTTATAGATATATCAAGAATTTACAAGTAAAACAACAAGGGCATCCCCTTGGAAAAAGAAAACAATAGTTACAAATAACTGTAACTACAGCAAGTAGTTACAAGAGATCAAAACAGGTAAACAAAATAAGACATTCAAAGAGACTGTCCCAAAGATGTTGTCCCAAATCCCCCTAGCTCTATGTCTGAAAGTAATAAAACCTCTCCATATATAGTTTGATCAATGTGTGTAACAACCCTCTAATGATCATGATGCAATCTCTTATTTCTCTCATCCCATAAAAACCACAGCGTTGTAGCACAAAGGCATTTTTGAGCCTTATGCTTTTATTCTTTTCTGAACAAACCAATTAATAAGTTGTTG